AACTTACTATCAATGCTAAGGGATTGACTGTCACTCTTATAATGTACCCATAGCTTAAAGTGCATGAAATATATTCTTTGGTTTGTTTGTTTATTGAATTTCGCACAAAGCTACATGAGGGCTATCTGCGCTAGCCATCCCTAATTTAGCGGTGTAAGACTAGAGGGAAGGTAACTAGTCATCATCACCCATTGCCAACTCTTGGGCTACTCATTTAACAATGAATAGTGGGATTGACCGTCACATTATAATGCCCCCATGGCTGGAATGGCGAGCATGCTTGGTGAAACAAGGATTTAAACCCGCAGATTACGAGTCGAGCTCCTTAACCACCTGGCCATGCTGGGCATATTCTTTGGATCAAATGGATTACAACCAGGCTCATCACCTACAAAATCCAGAGATCTACACCATAGATCCAACCCACATCCACAAATAATGTATCAGATTCGTAAAACATAAAAATTGGTCGTAGCATTTACTGAACAGAACCTAAGAGTTGCATTTAAGTTCAAAGGTGTCTTACTAACCACAAAATTTAAATTAACTAAATCATTTTTACATTTTTTTTAACAGCAAGATTTTTGAGTCTTATAAAATGAATGTAATACATGACCAGATTCTGTTTAGATCCGTTCAGAATAACATAATTTATGAGACTGAAAATCATTTTGGAAACTGTGACACTTAATATATTTCTAATATAATTTGTTTTTTGCATTTTCCTCCTGTTGATGGATATCTGAAGAAATCACAGTAGGTTTTTTCTTGAATTTTTGTTTGTTTGTAAACTATTTCAATCTTTAGCAGAATCACTGTCTAGTAGACAAAACTTAGGCTAAAAAGTAAAGTAACTTATAGTTGTATTTCAAATAATGATATACTGATGAACAGTTAGTTGTTCTATAAAATGTTATCATTTATATATGTATACATATTCATCAGGAGTTTGGTTAGGTTGATAAAATGGTAATTAAAAAATAAACAGGGGATAATGTCTGGGTGTTGGTTTGTTATATTTCATTAGTGAGATTTATGTACTTCTTTTATTAATGCCTGGTTCATGTTTTAAAAACTAAGGTTGTTTTTACTTTGTTCATGTATTTGGGAGAAAGACTTTGTGTTCCTTTATGCACGTGTCTAACTTGCATCCTGTTTCATCTTTGTAAACATCCAGGCAGTTGGATTCACTGCATAGTTTTGATTTTTATCCAGTGAATTGAATGGGAATCTGGTTGGTATGTCAAGATTATGTATGTATGTATGCTAACATTTTCTACAAAAGGAATTCTGCTCGTAAATAGGGTGTGTGCGAGTTTTGATGAGTAATATTTGGATTTGTCTGTTACTGTTGTCTTTTCTATATTTCTTAAATTCATTTACAGTTTGTATAACTATTTATGCTTTTAAACCATCATCAATTTCTCCCTGCTGAAGCCATAATCAAAATTAAAATAAAAAAATTTACAATTTGAAAGTTTTGATACAAAACATTATTAAAAAAAACAAAACAAAATGTTTCAACAACAGGCAGTTGCCATCCATTCAACTAAATTTTATCAGATCATAGGCCAGTTATACTGGTTTTTTGGAGATCAAGTGAAGAAGGCTTAATGTATCATATTTAAAATGCTTTTAATAAGAAAGATGATTTACACATATGCAAAATTTATTGTTAAATACAAAATAACAAGATTAATGAGATGGTATAAATTGTTTTTAACTTAGAATATCTGATTTAAAGTTAGGATTTCAACAATTTATTCCAAGTATCTATCAAAAAAGGGCCTATGAATGGTTCCTCTTCAACCTCACAGGTTATAATGACTCTATCTTCTCTTCCTTTAAGTCAAATAGATCAGTATTTTTTTTGCTTTAAGTACAATAATATCTTCCCAATACACTGCAGGCTATTGGTTCTAGGACAGCCACCATTAAGGTGTTAGTAGCTATGGTCACACAGTGTAGCAGCACAGCAATACATACCTACTTATACTGGTTATTCTTTTACGAATGGTATCTTTAAAATATCTAAAAACTTGGCAAATGGTTCATTATTTATGATGTTTTACTACATATTACTAAGTATGCTGGTGTCAAACTTTAGCCATCTGTCAATAAGTATGCTGGTGTCAAACTTTAGCCATCTGTCAATAAGTATGCTGGTGTCAAACTTTAGCCACCTGTCAATAAGTATGCTGGTGTCAAACTTTAGCCACCTGTCAAAGCATACTTATTGATAGATGACTAAAGTTTGACACCAGCATACTTATTGATAGATGGCTAAAGTTTGACACCAGCATACTTATTGACAGATGGCTAAAGTTGGACACCAGCATACTTATTGATAGATGGCTAAAGTTTGACACTAGCATACTTATTGATAGATGGCTAAAGTTTGACACTAGCATACTTGGGTGTCAAACTTTAGCCACCTGTCAATAAGTATGCTGGTGTCAAACTTTAGCCATTTGTCAATAAGTATGCTGGTGTCAAACTTTAGCCATCTGGCAATAAGTATGCTGGTGTCAAACTTTAGCCATCTGGCAATAAGTATGCTGGTGTCAAACTTTAGCCATCTGTCAATAAGTATGCTGGTGTCCAACTTTAGCCATCTATCAATAACTATGCTGGTGTCAAACTTTATGCTTACAAATCATTGTTTGTCACCTTAGTATCAGTTAGCAATAAACATTATACTATAAGTGTCGGTTGTTTCAGTTTTTAAACCACTTCAATATGCTTACAAATCATAGTTTGTCACCTCAGTATCAGTTACCAATAAACATTTTACTATAAATGTTGGTTGTTTCAGTTTTTAAACCACTTCATTATGCTTACAAATCATTGTTTGTCACCTTAGTATCAGTTACCAATAAACATTTTACTATAAATGTTGGTTGTTTCAGTTTTTAAACCACTTCATTATGCTTACAAATCATTGTTTGTCACCTTAGTATCAGTTACCAATAAACATTTTACTATAAGTGTCATTTGTTTCAGTTTTTAAACTACTTCATTATGCTTACAAATCATTGTTTGTCACCTTAGTATCAGTTACCAATAAACATTTTACTATAAGTGTTGGTTATTTCAGTTTTTAAACTACTTCATTATGCTTACAAATCATTGTTTGTCACCTTAGTATCAGTTACCAATAAACATTTTACTACAAGTGTTGGTTGTTTCAGTTTTTAAGAGATACCCAAAATTTATTGCAGTGAAGCAGATAGGAAAGAATTGCAGGACTACTAAATTACATACAAATCAATCCCTCAAACAATTAACCTTATCAATTAACAGACAATATATTGGGCCTTTCTGATAAAAACAATTGCAGAAGAGAAGCTTGAAATAGTTATATTTCCTCTAGTAATATTATTTTCCTATCTAGGTGACAAAAGTAGCTTGTTTCTACATTTTCTAAGGCAGTACTTCAAAGTTTCCAGAGTCAACAGATATCTAGTAGATCAGATTCACTCCTCCCTACCTATTTTATATTATACAGGTATTTCTTTATTTATTTAGTAACTTATATATTTTAATTTATTGTTCCTTGATTACATATATCAATGATCTGAAATGTGACATAGTTTCGTTTTGGTGCAATCACAAAATAGACAATTCTTCCACACTGATGCTAAAAATCATATTAATTGACGAAATACTCAAACAGAAAAATTATTTTATTTTCAAACTACTTACCAAGCATTTTCTTGAATAAAAGAACAAGTATATCTGATGGTTTGTAAAAATAAATTTTCCCATCATTTTCTATTTCATATTTCATCTCTCCTTCAGTAATAATCTACAGAAAAAAGGTTTTAGACTTAGACAGTAAGGATTAAACATTATTGCTAGACAACAGTTTGGCATAAATTGTAAAATATAGAAGTATAAAGTATAATTAATTTAAAACTAGAATATTTTTCAGAGAATTCGATTATTTTACACAGAGTAGGTTTGAAAAAGAACTAATTTTCCTAAAAAAAACTTTTTAGAAACAATGGATACTCTTCCATTTTTATGTCTACCACAAAGAAGAACAAGATTCCCCAACATTCACAACAAGACCAATTTCAACACAAATCAAACATGTCTCTTCCCTACGTTCCAAAATTAGGTAAAAAATGTCAAAGGATTTGCTGGAAATTTAACATTAAAGTTTATTTTAAATCAGGAAAATGTCTTTGAAACATCCTTACAAAAGTGAAACAACCAACAACAAAAAAGAACTATCTACGAAGTACTATATTCATGTAACAACATTTACATTACTAGTTGGATCATAGAACAAAGATTAATAAAATAAAGATGCAACCAAACAAACACATGCAGATAAATCAGCCTTGGCTAAACATAACCACAAAATATGATGTATCATAAACTGGGATCAACAAAGAATTGGACAAAACTCACCACTGGAAATAAAGAAAAATCAATGATGCAACATGAACTCAAGAGATAATGGCTTGTACATCAACAACCTGTGGATAACCACCCTCAACAAACTATGGAGATAATATTATGACATCTGGCTTGTACATCAACAACTGGTGGATAACCACCATCAACAAACTCTGGAGATAATATTATGACATCTGGCTTGTACATCAACAACTTGTGGATAACCACCCTCAACAAACTATGGAGATAATATTATGACATCTGGCTTGTACATCAACAACTGGAGAGTTTGTTGAGGGTGGTTATCCAGGGAGATAATATTATGACATCTGGCTTGTACATCAACAACTTGTGGATAACCACCCTCAAACTATGGATATAATATTATGATGTCTGGCTTGTACATCAACAACCTGTGGATAACCACCCTCAACAAACTATGGAGATAATATTATGACATCTGGCTTGTACATCAACAACTGGTGGATAACCACCCTCAACAAACTCTGGAGATAATATTATGACATCTGGCTTGTACATCAACAACTGGTGGATAACCACCCTCAACAAACTCTGGAGATAATATTATGATGTCTGGCTTGTACATCAACAACCTGTGGATAACCACCCTCAACAAACTATGGAGATAATATTATGATGTCTGGCTTGTACATCAACAACCTGTGGATAACCACCCTCAACAAACTATGGAGATAATATTATGATGTCTGGCTTGTACATCAACAACCTGTGGATAACCACCCTCAACAAACTATGGAGATAATATTATGATGTCTGGCTTGTACATCAACAACCTGTGGATAACCACCCTCTAAAAACTCTGGAGATAATATTATGAGATCAGTCTTATTGACAACACCCGTCAACCATCATATCTGCTCAAACTACATATGTTCGAGCTCTACTAAACAGCCATGATTACCTTTATAAAACATTAAACAAGCATCTACAGTGACCTGAAAAAGACCTCAGTATAAAACATATTTGCAAACTTTCACGATTTGGGTGGGAGTTTCCTGAATTTGGACCTTTGACCCAACTTACCGATTTTAGGCATGTACACCTATTTTTTCTAAAATCTACTGATTTGCATAACTATAATTCACTTTTTCATACATTAAATATTTTCCTGTAAACGTCAGCCAATCATTTGTTCTCTATAACAAAACCAGTTGAGTAAACACGTGATTCATACCAGAAATCGGTCTTCACATTCTTCTTGGCGAATGAAAACCGATTATACAAAGACGTATTTATCGTTCTAAACCAAGCATAATTGTTCACGTGTTTGTAACTTGCTTGATTTGGCGTGAGTCACACAAAATTTTCCAACACTAGAATTTTGAAAATTTTGCAAGTACGATAAAAGCGAAAACATTATCCTCTTTTCATTCAACAAGCAGTTGCAGTCCATTAAAGTTATCAAACCTACCCTGCTTAAAGTTCCATGAATTACAAATTCTGCAAACAGACCAAATATATGTCTAGTTTCAATGTACCTTAAAGAATCTATTCAGAAAAACATCAAAATAGTGTTACAACTACCATTATTTTTTGATAAACATAATCATGTAATACACTTTAAATTTTCCATATAATTCAAATATCATAACGGTTCAATATTAACCAAATTTTACATTAACAAGCAATCCAACCACCACTCTACAGTCATAAAAAAAGATATATATACACATACATAAGTTAAAAGTCAGTTAAACAAAATGACATACATACCTTACAACCACTGTTTTTCATTTCTTGCTCCATTTCTTGTAGATCTTTTCCTAATACTTGTTTAACATTACATACTGTACTAGCTGCATTCCTTACCAGACCCTGCTTTGCAGCAAGCCCTACAGACTGAAAAGAAAAAAGTAAAAACTTACTCAAATTCAGTTTTAACATTGTGTTTATAGCAATAAAGATGTTTAGTATGTTACAGTCCCTGTCACTACATAACATCTTGTGCATCTTGACAGTAGTTCTGTAGTGTAATTTCCATTGCTAAAAGCTCCTTGATAAGACTGTCATGTGCAAAGCATACCCATCCTCTGTGATGACTTTCCATAATCCATCTAGTATATGAGTATGATAATTTTCCAACACATTTCAACAATCTGATCACATGGAAATCCATTGGAGATGCATCACGTGGAATAGCAAGAATGCCCTTTTCACTCTCCAGCTACTTGAGGTATGTATTGGTTGAATGGATCAAGTTGTGTACATGCGACTTGTTTCACTTTTCTAGACAAAGATCCTTCTTGATTATGTTGTATATGCTTACTGCTGCCTGTGACACATGAATGGCTTTTACTTCTTACCCTTGCATTCATGAATTTTCACCTGTTACAAGGTGATGCACTTTGCTTAGTATGGCTTCTTGCAGGCCTCTTTTTATATGGTCTTGTTTTTCAAAATTGATCCATATTCCTTGTTTTCCAATGCCGTAAATACTAGCAATATCCTCAATCTCAATACATCTTCATGATCTGAGTGTATAAACATTTTGTGTTGGAAATGGCTGTTATATACTTTCAAATCAAATACCCTGTTTTGAGCAAAGAAAGTTTCACAATCTCTTAATAGCCTTTAATGATAGCAATGATGTCCCTAATTTAGCAGTGAAAGACTAGAGGGAAGGCAACTAGTCATCACCACCCACTGCCAACTCTTGGGCTACTCTTTTATCAATGAATAGTGGGATTGACCGTCACATTATAACATCCCCACAGCCGAAAGGGTAAACATGTTTGATGGGGCAGTGATTTGAACCCGCAACCCTCTGATTGTTTAATAATTATTTACTTAACTCTTTAAACTCATAATTTTGCCAGAATTATCTTTATAGTTTCCTAATAATTATTACTATACTTTATAAAACTTCAATTTTCTTAATTCTGTAAATAACAACATGGTTTGGATTAGTATCCAGCTAAAGAGGCATAAATGTTATTGGACACTGTCATCTTCCATGGGTAAATCTGGTTTTTCTGCTGAATGCTGGAAGCTTCCACTCGGATGGAACTCTTTCTCAACAGGGTCATGTATTTTACATGACCCCGTCTGGAGAATGATACAAGTGTAACAATATGTACTGTAACTCTGAGATTACTTAACATATCCTCACAAAACCTGGTAAGATTTTGTTAAAGATTATAAGTAACTTGTACAAAAAGAATGACATTATTTTAATTACATATTTTTACTTAATAGTTCATATGCAAGATGGTTTTCATTTTAAGTATACTTACACTTTGAGTCTCATTTGCATAACTTCTAGAACCTCCTACATGAATATCAAAAGTTTGTTTTTAAGGTAAATGTTTATATTTTATTTTTCATTATCTCTACCATATCACTAACTGTACATATTATCATCAACATATAGTGTTTAAAATTAAGAAATAGAAAAAAATGTACATACCTTTTAATTTTTCATAGAATACCTTAAAAGACCTTTTGGTTATATTAATAATTTTGGGTCTTTTTCTTTTCATATATATTTAATTTTTAATGCTTTATATTCCTTTCCTGTCCTTTCTCTTTTATTACTCTTTATTATCTTACCCTCACGCAAGATCTTAAGCCTTGAGAGCCGACACAAAGTATGATGTATCTATATACTACTAAAACTCTGAGATTGATTGTTTGCTTGTCTGTAATTAAATACCGCAAAAATGGAACACAATAGTGCCATATTTGTAATGAAATGAGAATAGAAACATAATAAAACAAGTTTCATTAAAATCGGGCCACGGGTTACCGAGTTAGCCCCATTTTCTAAGCAGCTAACTAAGCAGCCAACAATACTAAATGCACTTACATATACCAGATGACAACAACTATGTACCAATTTAAAAATACCCACTGTTGGATTATAGTTCAAAATGAGCTCTTTCTAATGACTATGTACATGTATATGTAGCAAGCAAATGTATGTTATAAAGCTCAAGCAAATGTATAGGAGGACATCAGGGGTTGACAAAATTCATTAATTGTTTCTACTGCATTCAGCCATAAAAATTTGAAACTTGCGTGTCAATATGGCACGTAAATGTACTTATTGTTCAGACATGTCTACATAACTGGATAGAGTGCAAAAGTTGAGATTTTTCATAGCTTGTGAGTCAGGTGACAACAAAACCAAAAGTTTTAAGCAATTTTTTAGAGGTTTCTTTTGAAATAAAGGAATTAAAACTTGTATGATATAAAACTGCTAGTCTTCACCACCCACCGCCAACTCTTGGGCTACTCTTTTACCAATGAATAGTGGGATTGACCGTCACATTATAATGGCTAAAAGGGCGAGCATGTTTGGTGGGATGGGGGCGCAAACCCGTGACCCGCAGATTGCGAGTCGAGCGTCCTACCCACCTGGCCATGCCGGGCCATATTGTGTAGCTTTGTGATAAACAACAATAAAAAATAATGCAATATTTCAATTTTTTGAATAGTTGGAATAATCAAAAATAGTAATAATAGGGAAGTTGGTTAACTTTGTGAGATATGACGCTTGTTGATTAAGCTGAACAAACTTATGCAAAATAATAACGGAAATATTACAATTAGTGAACAGTTGAAATAATCAAAAACAGTAATAACCAGAAACACTAGTTGATTATTTTTTGTAATATTAATTGATTTAATCATAATTTTGATTATTCAATTATTTCATGGTACTAAACTATGTAATCTATACTCAGAGGAAATTAATTATTTCAATCAATCACTGAACTTCAATTTACTTGTGTATAAAATTAAACAACGCAGACAGTAACTCTTGTGACATAAAAAGACTGAAAAAACTTACAATTTCATTATTGGTAAAAGCCACTACTGCTGGTGTTACCCTGTCTCCAGCATCATTTGCAATCACCTCTGTTTTACCTTCCTGAAAATATTTTAAAAAAAAGTT